AGGCGCGCCCATTTCACGCATGCCGTGGGGGAAGACAGCAACGTGTCGTTGGGGAGGACAGGCAGCGCCGAGAGGCAGCGGTTCTTTTCCACCTCGGAGGAGGGCGAGGGCCCCCCCTCGTCGCCACGGCCAGACGCAGCTCGGAACTTCTGTGCGCTTGGACTACGTGAGGGGCCTGGGAGCCGATTTTGAGCTGCCGTTGTCTCGACTGGTTCTGCTCTGGCTATCTTCTGTGCATCTTCGGGTTGGTGATCACTCGCAGCAGGGGAGAGAAAGGAGGAGGGATGAGGAGGAGGGATGAGGAGGAGGAGGAGGATGAGGAGGAGGAGAAGGAGGAGGGGAAGGAGGAGGAGTTAATATGCTCCTCTCCGCATCCTCTCTTTTGCCGCTGCCGCCGCCGCTTCGCTTCATTAGGTTGATGATAATATATACGTACTTTTCGGCGGCGGTCCGCATAGGACTGTCGCCACTTCCGAAACCTTTCCTCAGGACCCACGGCGGCGGGGTGATATAGTTTTGGTGGCCTCGAAGAGGCCACCGCTGCATCAGTACTGTCCGCAGCTATCTTTGTGAGTCAAGTGGAGAAAAGGTCACCGCGCGCGCGCCTCCCCTCGCCCAACGGCCGGCCAGCTCGGCGCGTGCGCACGTATTCACATATTGCTTAACGGACTTTATTGCTGCCAAAGCCATGGCTCTCCCCAGTAGTTCTCCCCCTGAGCTTCCCCAGAATAGATCTACGACTACATACGTTGAAGCCCCAGGTTTAACTATTGAAGATCATGAGACCCATATTCTTTTGACATTCAACCACGATTCCCAGAGGAACGACTGGTTATCAGCCGAAACCAGCGACCAAGTCGTTTTGGGTTCGATGAGCCAGGTTCAGGCAGTAGATTTGCTCGACACATCACAATCAAAACATCGTGTTGAGCAATTTCGGACATGGCGCGGCCTGAAGGGCCGCCCTTCCCCTCTCGACCTCTCGAATGTTCCTCAGATTGATCTGTCTCTCGACGATTCCTTAGGGAATAAGAAGCTAGAGGAAAGGCATCAAACGCCCGGGAGGCAGACCGGCCAAGCCGGCGCTGCGAGACGGAGGCCATTGTCGAGTTGGTCTTCCTCACGTTTAGTGCCGGATAGCCCGCGAATTCTGAGGGCAAGGCTCCTGCGATTGATTTGTCTCGCAACGATGCCCCAGGGCGTTCGTTGCTGGAGGATCGGGCCCAGACCCCCGTGAGACAGACCGGCAAAGCCGGCGGTGTCAGGCGCAGAGCCTTTGCATCCTGGTGCAGCCCCGCGCAGCCCGGCCAGTGGAGCCCCAGGGTCGCTGGCCCAGCCAGTGGAGCCCACGACGAGGACGAGCAACCAGGGGGGGCCCCCATCGCCCCAGACGATCGGGGCGAACCCCGGGGCGCTCAGGTCGTTCCATTTGCTTTGGACGGGCAAGACGGTCACGACAGTGACGAGCAATTGGGAGACGAAGAAGACGTGAACTCATATGACGGTAATTTCGAGCTTGCTGATTTCCACGCGTCTCCAGGTCGGGTTGACCCAGAGCTCCCACTCCAGGGCCCTATCGGTTGCCCCGCCCCAGACGGTGAGCGATCCGAGGCAGAAGCAGTCGATTATCAAGAACGCGCTGACCTCGGAGATGCCCTACTGGAACCAGGGGGTGGACAGCCGCCCTCCTCAGATCATGTTACCCTCTCGTGGCAAAGGCCGACGGCCCCCGACCCGGTCGGCGCGGTCGAATGTGCCTCAGAGCCCTCGGGCGCGAATCCAGGGCAGGCTGAAATTCCGCCTGAGGTTCGCCCACCAGTTCATCCGACAGCCGGGGCCCCGACCAAGTCGGAGGAGCCCTCGTCTAGGTCTCTTCAGCCGTCTAGGCATGCTAGGGAAGCCTTAGGCCGCGCGCCAGTTCCGCATATTAAGAAGCACGAGAGTGAGGACGACGACTTGAAGCCCAGTCCTCTTGAAGAGGGATTCTTCCGGCGCGTCGTCGGTTCAACCGGCTGGCAGCCTACGATCCCTGAGGCGGCGGAAGCGGACGACGCCGAAGACCCCGTAGCGACATTTCGCCAGTTGGTTAAGCGAGACGAGCAAGACGAGACAGCGGCCAAGACACCAAAGCCGCCTGAGAGCGGCTACCAGCGACCCAGAGAGGCACAATCTCCAGCCTCGAGTCGAGCCAGACCTCGGATCCATAGGTCTGGAGCTCGATCAGGCTCGGGGTCGTCGCGAAGTGTCAGCACGAATTCCATGCGTGATGCTTGTTGGGATCTGGGCCCAATGTGCCCGCCTGGTGCTGAAAACAGATGCCCGGGGGAGAGCCCGCAAAACGGGGGGGCCCTGCGAGCGCCCCGTCTGCGGGCAATGCTCGGAGGTTTGTCCCAAATGTAGCGTCAGTTGGCTTTGTCGTGACTGCATCAGTATGGGCGAACATAATTGCCAGTCTCTTTTGATCCAGGCCATGCAAGAGCAAGCCAAAACTGAGAATGCCCAGAGAGATGAGCAGGCCAGGATCGATCGAGCTCGGATGGAAGCATTTGTTGAAGAAGCTCAGAAGAAGCTCTCCGAGTCAGACGCCCAGAAACTTGCTATCGCCCGTCAGTCCAAGGCCGAGGCCGAGAAGATCGCGATTGCCCAGGCCGCCCAGCAGCGTGAACAGCAATTCGAGGCTCAGTTCTCCGAGAAGGCTGCAGCTGCCAAGCAGCTTGCGGCGCAGGCGGACGTTAAAACAGCGGAGATAGCGAAAGAGGCTGAGCAGCGACTTGCACTTCAGGCTGCCGGCCCACCGGCTCAGCCGGCAGGGGTGCGGAGGCAGCGGCCGCCAGTGGCCAAGCCGCCAGGTGCCAGTAACCAGGCCAGGTCTAGTTCGGCCCCTCCCCAGGGGGGGCCGCCCTTGCCCCTGCCTCTCAAGGCGCCGGCGCCGGCCGAGCCGGCAGCTGTCCAGCCGCCTCCGCAGTCGACCTTTGATCGTCCCATGCGTGTTAAGGCTTTTCCACAACCTCAGCCCATTCGAGGGGCCCCTGCCGAGGGCTGCTACATTTGTACTAAGCAAAAGATTTGATTTTGCGTAATTTGTGGTTCTCCCGGCTGCGAAGAGCATTTCGACGTGGGCACAAAGCGATGTGCTGCTTGTGCTCAAAAGAAGAATTTGCCAGAGGCTGGGGCAGCTTGGGATGAACAATGGAAGCGCGACAGCAGAGATCCCCATCTTTTGGCCCAGCAGCAGAAGCTTCTCGACGATATTCATGCCGAGAAAGCTGCCATGAAAAGGTTGGTAGAGCAGGCCAAAGACCAGCTCCGTCGAAGCTCTGAGACATCAGCAGCCAACACTCTTGCAATGGGGGAGGCCTTGGCTGCAATGGCCGCTGACAAAGCTGCATCTGACAAAGAGGTGCTAGCCCTAGAAGCGGCCATCGCTGAGTCCCTCTAGCAAAAGGACCTTTACATGCAGTCTCGGTCTCAAGCAGTCACTTCTAAACCGCCATTGAATCCCCATATCACCGTGACAGGACCCGCGTTGGAAAAACCGTGCCAGCCGGGTGTGTCAGGTAACAGCGTACCTTTCAACGCCGAGCTTTATGGCGTGGCCGACGACTTGAACCTTACCCACTTACACCGTTTCACCCGAGACCCGCCGCGGAGGACATCAGCAGCCCAGCCGTCAGGTGTTGGTGGAGGTGGGGCGCCAGCGGCCTGGCCGTCGGGCGACGCAGGAGGTCCGGGCCGACCTGGGCCCCCGGGCGGTGGAGGCGGATCGGGCGGGCCCAACGGCCCAATATACCCTCGCAGCGCTAATCCGTTGGACCAGCGGCGACACGTTGGCAACGACGCAGAGATCGATTTGATGAACGTCCCTGACGTTGCGAATCTCCGCGAATAGCAGATGCACGCCATCCGAGCTGTGGCGGGGCCCCCCCTTGAAATTCACGAGGCCCAGATCTGGATCATGCAGGCCATGGGCCCTACTGTTCCAAAGGACCCATGGGGAGGCCGCTCATGGCCCGGGCCGCTTTCCGCGCCTTGACCTCGTGATTGCCACTAATTTGATCGAGAAGTTTGCGAAGCTCGCTCGACCTCGCAACCTGTCTGTTCATCATCGGCACTTCCTTGCGCAAATAAGACGCATGGAAATCTCCGCTCAAAACGAGGAGAGGTTATTGACTGGCCGCGAAATGATCAGGGCCAAATGTTATTGGTGCTCTGTTAGGTCTGAGCTTGGAAAGCATCGCATGTCTCGTGATATCTTCAAGGTCGTTATAGATCCCAATCGCCCAGATGCTGATCTGCGCCATCTCTACAATGAGTGGGCGGATGTGTACCACCAGCTCTATGGTGGACGACCCCCTTCCGACGAGATGCGAGCTTCGATCCATGCCCACTTCCTCGAGCAGCGCAGGAAACCAGAGAAGTTGAACATGGTTTGCCAGTTTTACGATTTGTTTTCAGACAAGCCCGGCACGGGCATGCGTACATACGAGTGGCTCATAGCTCAGATTGAGATGCTTATGTTGCGAGAGAAGGACGATTATAACATCGACAAGCACGAATCGACCCTTAATCAGCGGGGCCGGGGTTGGGGCGCTTTGCATGCCGGCCCAGCCGGCGGAGGCGGAAGCAGGCAGATCGCTGCCCCGGCTCAGCCGACGGCAGGAGACGGACGCTTTGCCCAAGAGGACACAGACGACGAACTGTCTGCCCCAGAGGACCCGGCGAGCGAATATATCGACGCCGCTGCTGATGAACCGGCCAACAGCGGCAGCTCGCGTAAGGGCCGCGGCAAGGGCACAGGCCGCGGCAAAGGCAGAAAGAAGATCTGCTACGGTTTCAGGGACACGGGCGAGTGCTCACGCGGCGAGGAGTGCTGGCATGCCGCAAGTGCCCCAGGCCACCCTTGACATTGGCTGGGCACTGGCGGCCCTGCCGCCAGTGCCGGGGGGGGGGCTGGAAGGTCGAGACAAGCCCCTCGCGCTGTTAATCATTCTCTTCGTTTA